AGAGTTCTGATAAGCTGAAACTCTCTGCACTGGTGGACTACTGGTTATGTAGTTGATAACACACTATATTTACTTTACTTTGCCCTGAGGGAATACAGTTAAAAGAGTAAAGAAAATTAAACTGTGAATCTTTTACCTTAGGTGGAGACATGTACTGTATGTTAGTCATAAAGCTGAACAGATTGCATAGATTTGAAGGCTTGAAAAATTAAAATCATTTCTGAGAAACCTAACATCATCTGAACCTTGAGTTTCAGTTTGAGGGTCACAGCTCTATGATGCTGGGCTACCTTTAAGTAGCTTAGCTTTATCATCTAAATTATTCAGATGATCTAAACATTGACTGAATTCATCTACATTAAACATAGATTCTATAAAACAGATTGGGATTCATACAAACTTGTATTCTGTTTATAAAAATACAATGACAGGAAACTAACTGTTAACAGCAGGCCTAGTTTAGCTTCAACCAGTTTTACTAGAGCTTAGATGCAGCTAAGCGAGTTTATATGTATTAAAATAACTTTTCATCAGACTAAATCCTCAACAACAGTCCTTTGAAAAATTTTTAAAGAGAGAGGAATATTCCAGATCAGGTAATGCTCGTGTTCACTATTCTCGATTTTAAACTGAGGTAAAGAAGAGATAGAAATAGCATGCATTAGCCTAGCTTCCTGTAAGTATGCAGAAATTATTACTTTATAAAAGATGATGTTCATTTTATTGTGAAAGCAAATGTGATCAAATAAAGAGCTGCATACCTGTGCAACTTTTAAAAGTAAAATATGATAGGAATGAAGAGACTGTCAATAGCAGAGATTATGTTTACTTAATGGGGGAAACTATATAAAGTTTAGTTAAATACCAAAATAAATAAATCACTATTTCAGCATAGTCTTCATTTATTTAGAAATAAATTCTATTTTAACTGTCAAACAGAGCATAAAAATCGGATAAATCTAGTTTAATTTCATATACTGCACTGGAAAAAGTATAACCTAGCTCAAATAAAAAAAATGATGTCCAGATATTATATCTAAAATATTTGAATTCACAGAATCTGAATTTAATCACGAGTTATGACCTGATTCTTTTATGTTGACGTAAACAATAATACTGCACTTCACCCAAATGATTTGCTGAACATTTCAGTTGATGAACCAAACTAATATATTTAAATTGAACCAACCTATTGTACTTACTTTTAACTAAATTAACATGAATTAATGTTTTAATCGATACCAGTTAATTAATTTAAATATAACTAAATTATAATTTTCACATTTCATTTGACTTTACTTCAAAAATAATTTCTATTTCCAATCTTACAAACTCTATAAAAAAACACCAGGGAAACAGATTACATATTTATTACATATTATGTATTTAGTAATTGTTAATATAGCCTTAAATGGTTTAAATCCAGATGGTGTAAACTGACGTTAACTAAACTCGGTAACATACAACAACAGCCTTCCTGCTCTTTATAATATTCCACTGTCAATAATGGCCAGGTATCCAGCATTTAACTCAAAAAAAAATTCCCTACTGTACCTTCAAGCAATGTTTGTTTAGCTCTGGATGTAGCCCGGAACAACGAGCGAGGGCTTTTGGCTAGCTCACGTTAGTAACTCACACACTGATGGTGGCAAGCTACACTGTAGCCACAGCTGCTAACTGACAGAAGCGAGGCTGCCGTACACTGGCACCACCACTACTCTGACCTCCATCAGTAGACAATGCCACAAAAACACTTAAAGCCGGAGCTTAAACCATCAACCCTTCGCTTTTAGGGCAAACTCCTACACCAGAGGCCACTGTCGCCCCCTCACTTGGACTTGATCATATGCTCTGATGGCATGCAAAGCTCAATTCACATGTGACTCAAACAAAAAAACTACCTGTAGTGTGTAGTGTCATGAATATATATAAACATATTGAGAGAAATCAAAAACTTTTTTTGGGCCATTTAGACGTGTATTTAGTTCAGGTTAAATCAAACTTGATGTCTTAAATCCAAAAAAGAATGAGTTACACGATCAAATCAATAATTTTATCCAGTTTAAAGTGATAGTCATTAGTTTGAATGAACAGCTACATGTTACACTTTTTTGAGTGTGATAATAAAAACTGACCCGTGCATGTAAAGTGTTTTTTAAAGTCATAGGGAGGCAGCTGTTCCAACCGTTGCAGTTCCGAATTTTTCCGAGTGGTGCACGACTTTACACGAGTGATTAAAGTGAATGTGATTGGTCGTTTATCAAGGGGATGGAAATTGTTGTGGCAGAAGGTTCGCAAGCAAGTTTGGTTGTGGCTGGTTTCTCAGAAGCATCTTGCTAACCAGTTAGCAACTTAGTGCTAACTGTCAAGGAACGCTATGGACAACGGAAACATGCAAGAGGAGGAGAGTTTAGTGTCGGAGGTTGTGGATGAGTCTCCTCCGTGATACAGAAGGAAAGCGGGGACGAAGATGTTGTGGAAGAGGATGCCAGGGCGGCAGAAGCTTGGTTTGGTGTAGAAGGCTTACAGCCGTACATGTTTGAGCCCTTTCCTCGCAACGCTGCCAGTTCTGTTAGCTCTACGCCTGCTGAAGACACAGACGTCCATCCCCGTGAACACTGGGACGGAACTCAATGGGAAAGGAGAAAGGAAAGGATTCTTATTTCAACCGTTGCATATATTAGCTGCAACATTTGAATCCAGATGCTATGACAAAAAAAATTTGATTGGCAGATGATATATGATTGGCCGAATTTAGGTGTACAGGCTGACGTATAACTAACAGGCCTTAATAACATAAACAAAAAAAAAAACAACAACACAGGTTTTAAAGACAGCATTTTTTTTATATGAATTTCTAAATTTTGGGACAATATTGTCTGATAAAGATTACATTTATATACATGTTTAAGCCAGAATGATTTGACATTTCAATAGGATTTCCCTACGACTTTAATTAATTTTAATGCCAATTATGGCCTTAATTTAAAAAATACTAATTTAATGACTTTTAATGACCCACAGAAACCCTGATATAGTGATAATAAAAAGCGTGTAAAATAAAAACTAACTAAATAAAAACCTGCAGGTTCTGAGATATTCCAGCAGGTATCAGCAGCTGGTTGCCTCATTAAGGTGGACTGGCAGGGGGTCGTGGGACCCTCAGCTCAGACTAATGAAAATCAAAAGAGGCGCCTGTGATCCAGCTGCCAGTGTCAGGTGGAATCAAAATAAGACCGACACACGTCTGAAAGGAGGCGGGCTGAACGCCAGAGAGAGGAGGAGGAGGAGGTGGAGGAGGAGGAAAGCGCTGCGCAATGACACACTGAACACCTTTTGCCATCTTGATTGTGCGCCTCGGTGGATCTACCTCCAAAATGAGACGCCTTTTATGATTTAGGAAGAAAAAAACCCGGAATGAGCAAAGTGAAAGCATTCAAAGCAGGATTCGCTCCTTTAAATGTCGAGCAAAACAACAGTAATTGCACCTTTATAGGTGTTGCATCACCTTGCGTACCTGGCTGTCTCCCGTCCAGGAGAACAAACCCCACCTTCACTGCAGCAGCGGCTCTGACCGCCATTCCCTCCACATAAAGCCACCTGCATCCCCGCTGGACAATAGATCCTAATCGGATCTTTTTAATAGAAAAAGGGGCGATGTTATATAGAGGTAACACTGGAGGAAAAACCACCTTATGCAGCGCTCCTTTTTGCACACGCATGCACAGATTTACAGAGAGCGCGTGGGGTGCGCGCGACCAGACGCACATAAAGCAGCAACATAAAAGGAGAGATAAAGCATGCACAAGTGGGTCAGAAATGCCATAAATCCCGCGAGAACAGAGGGAGGCGAGCATCCAAGCGAGTCTGGCATGACTAAAAAAAAAAACTACCAAAATAATAGAAAAATAAAATAATCCGCGTCTCTACCTGCACAGGTTGACATTTGGAGCGCTAATCCCGGCTCGGTGAGCCCTTTAAGAGACGGAGAGAGGATCCTGAGAGCCGCAGGTGGAATTTGTGTTTATTTCTAGAGCATTTGTCCGCCCCGCTATCCGCGTTCAGGTAAACATGATGATGATGATGGTGGTGATGATGATGATGATGGCTCCTGTACAGACGCACAGTCACCGTCGTGGCGTCAGCAGCAGGGAGAAAAAAAAAAAAAAAAAAGGTGCTTTCCTGCCCCTCCGGATCAAACTCACACACCCAACGTTTTATTATAATGGAAACGCTTCTATTTGTGGGGTTTTATTATTGGCTGGAAGGCGCTATGAAGAGCAGAAGGCAGGTAGGAAACGGACCAATCAGAGGCTCTGTCTCATTGCCTAAATTTAAAGTTATCACACCCATCCCTGGAGAAATTCTATTTATATTAAGCTAACACTTCTTTACAGAAATAACCCTCCACACAAAAACACGCAGTCAGAATTTTATTATCCATATTTATTTGTTAAAATAAAAACAAATTGACAAAAATCCAGTTTTTGTGATGATTAAAGTCGTAGGGAAGTCATAATTAAATGTCAAATCATTCTGGCTTAAACATGTCTATAAATGTAATCTTTATCAGACCATATTGTCCCAAAATTTAAAAAATTTCTATTTAAAAAAAAAATCCTGTCTTAAAATCTGAGTTTTTTTCGTTATTTTTATGCAGGCCAGTGTGTTATATGTCAGCCTGAACACCTAAATTCGGCCAATCATATACCAACAATCATCTGTCAATCAAATTTTTTAGGTCATAGCATCTCGATTCATATGTCGCAGTTAATATACGCAACGGTTGAAATAAGAATCATTTCCTTTCCCATTGAGTTCCATCCCAGTGTTCACGGGGATGGACGTCTGTGTCTTCAGCAGGCGTAGAGCTAACAGAACTGGCAGCGTTGCGAGGCGAGGGCTCAAACATGTACGGCTCTAAGCCTTCTACACCAAACCAAGTGTGACTCCCTGGCGTTCTCTTCCGCAACATCTTCATCCCCGCTTTCCTCCTCTAAATAAAAAATGAATGACGGAGGAGACTCATTCACGACCTCCGACACTAAACTCTCCATAGCGTTCCTTGACACTGTCGTTTCTAAGTCACCAATTTAGTGCTACATGGTCCCAATAGAATTTCCCATAGGGAACCTACTAGCACTAAGTTGCTAACTGGTTAGCAAGATGCTTCCGACAAACCGGCCACACAGTCGTCGTGAACAGCAGCTTCCCGACGACTTTAAAGCTACCACACCCATCTCTGGTGAAATTCTATTTATAAAGCTTCCCCTTCTTCACAGAAATAGCCCTCCACACAAAAACACACAGTCAGAATTTTATTAGCTCACACTCAGATAAACATATTGGATATTTGTTTGTTAAAATTTAGAAAAAGAACAAAATCCAGGTTTTGTGATGTTTAAGAAACTGCAATTGCAAGTGAAGAGCTTTGGTATTCCAGTTATAAATCAACAAAATGAGTGGATACAGTCATGGAAAGAAAGGATTTATCACTTTCTTTTAATGGTATTGGTATTTTACCTGAGCAAACAAAAATACAGGTGATGTAAGAGAAATTTCTATGAATGTATGTGATATTTTCACTACTCAAACCTCATTAACCCTTTATAGGGCACAGTGAAATACTTTGAAAATCTAAATTTTAAGCCAATAGTGTTATTTGAATCCAAGACTATACCTTATTACCTTTGTAGCATAAAAAAAAACGTATATATATTGATGGCAAAAATCAATGTCAGTGTAATAACAAGAAACACCAACTTGCACAAATATATTAAGAAAAATTACAAAAGAGCTTCTATAAGAAATTCATGAAAAACACTCTGAGTGTGAAAGATACACCCTTATTTGTACAACATAACCTTAGAGGCGTTAATGCTGATACTGGCACTTAAATCTTTGTTTATAAACCTAAATACAATTGTTAACTAGGCTTATTTACTTTTTTAACATTCAACTGTTTATTAGCATTTTTCACAGTTGTTTACATACACAATGTACATGAACACTTCACATTCAATATAACATAACACTCTGGATATAACCTTTGCTTGATAGCCATTTCTTTATTTCAACTTGAATGTTGTCTTTTTTTCCACTTTTCTTCCATTAATTAGTTTGCTGAAGTCTCAAATTATGTCAGTTTTTCCATAATGTCAATTTCTTCTTTTATTCCACCTTTTTTTCTTGACTTTTTTCAACTTAATTCACAGTAGGTAATATATCATTCAAGGGGTCATCTAAATGATCAAAGGCCAAAATAAGATGTACCGCCATGTAGCGGTATCTTTGCTGAATGGCTGGACATAGATCTTGTGCTTCTAGAGCTCACTGAGGGACGAGGAGGACATTTTTAAAGGGTATGCAAGTGATCAAAAACACTAACTTGCCCTATAAAGGGTTAACTTATATCTGGACACTACATGAGATCATAGCTTGCCAGTTGTAGCTGCCAACCATGGTAGATCTCCTTCAGTTTCCACATTACTAATGTTACAGCCAACTTCGCATGTTTTATATGAACAAGCTAAAAATGTAAGTTTTTTTTTTTTTAAAGTCCTCAACACCTCAGAGATAAGCCAGTGGCTAGTTGCTATATCGAGCATAATGGCATATAAAGAGCATTTAACCCAATCCTAATAAACTAAGCGTTCCAATTAGGTGCTCGTTTTACAATATTCCACCTTTGTAGTTTCAGTCCTTTGCTGTTTGACTTGTTCAGGTACTGAATGCAGCTGTCAGCCATGGAATAATACCCCAACCGGGACTCAATTTGTACCAGCCAAAGGCAACCGTCTTTTGGCAGCCCTTTAATTAAAGGAGTAGTAGTTATGCAGTTTATCTTATGCATTTTACTCCTAGTCAAAGCCATGTTAATAAATAAGCTTTGTGAGCCTCAAAGATGAAGTCTTTCCCTTACATCTAATGTTTCATTAAGGTTGTACCATGTAGGATACTAAAGCAGTAAGGATATTTATGATGTGAAAAAGGCATGACCAAATGGATTCAAATAAAAAGCTCCAAACATGTTATTACAGAAAAAAACTCTCAACATCTCAGCAGTTTAGTTTCACTGAAAAGCTATTATTTTACTATCAAAATTAAGAAAATACTTGCGATACATTATAACTTTATTACACAAAGCGGCATTTAAAATGTTTATTTCTGTTCATCTTTATAAAAACCCAAACCTTAGTTTCTCAGGCAGCTACATTAGGACCAGATAAAGGAAGATATTTAAAAAAGAAAATAACAGTCTACTGAAAAGTATGCCAATGTTTTGTACAGTTCAAACACCTAATAACTGGTCAGGCCTCCCTTTTGCATGTATCACTGCATCCATTTCACCTGGATGGATGAGATCAACCTGTGGCTCTGCAGGCAGGTTACCAAACCCACGTTTCCTTTAATAGTGACCCTAAGCTCATCTGTAACGTTGCCTTTGCTACAGTTTCATCCTTCTATTGACTATTCAACAAATTTTCAGTAGGATTTATATTTGGAGAATATGCCATTCCATCCAACTTAGTGATGCCATGATCATTAAAGAAGATATCAGCCATTTTGGCAGCGTGGGAAGGTGCCAAAAAGAAACCAGCATCTTTACAAAGCCTGCGAGCAGAATGAAGGCTTTAGTGCCACAGATTGTCCTGATTGTCCTACATTCTCTTCCCATCTACTTTTGAATCTGTGTTGGTCATTTGTTTCCAAATAAAATGCAGGTTTTACTTTATTCTTAGCCCAGGACAGGTGTTCCTGGTATTGTCTCTGTTTAAGGAGAGGTGTAACATAAATAACGTGTCAGTGATTTTCCTTGCTCTACTAATGACTCCATCCACAGTTCATGTTGTATGAATCCGACACAAACTCCTATATGAGCTTTTCTTCTCTATCTACCAACATCAGTTCTTTTATCTTGCAGATTTTATTTATTTAACCTTTATTTACCCGGGAAAAAGAGATTAAAAACCGCTATTTCAAGGGAGTCCTGGCTAAGAGGCACCAAAGTTACATAATAAACAGAGATACATTAAATTAAATGACAGGTACATAAAAAAACACATCAAGTAAAACAATAATGTTCTTCAGGTGATAAAAGGATGACCTAGTAACTGGTTTTATCTGCCTCTGAAGGCTCAGGTCTCCAGATTTCAGCCATACTGATGTTTGGTTTCTAGCTGTAGTAGCTGAAGCTGGGAGCTAACTCTGGATCTCTCTGGATATGGAAAAAATTAATCAAATTTGTTTGTAAATCATTTTTGCGACAATGATATAAGTGGGAACGGTATTTTAAAAATGCATTACCATCACAATTTTCTCTTTGAAATATCTCTATCCTGAACACCAGAAAGACCAAGGAGGTCCAGGAAGAGTGGAAATGCTCCTCTCTGCATACCAGGGGGAGGAGGTCAGCAGAAAGTTCCTGGGCTCCTGGACTGAGAACTCCTCCCACCTGGTGAAGGAGGCTCAACAACAGCTCTTCTTTCTCAGGAAGCTGACTCTCTGCTCATTTGCCTCACAAACTGAAAGCATCCTGTGTATCGGCATGATAGTGTGGTCATGGGAGCTGCATGCACAGGACACATCAAGAGGAACAGCAGAGGAGATTGTGGGACGCCATTAACCGGATCTGGACTCCATGTATGCTGCACAGGTCCAGAGAAAGACCAGACATGCTGCCAAAGAACCAAACCACCATCAGGAAAACGGATCAGCTGCTTCACATCCAGAACAAGAAGATTTTAAAACGGTTTCTTTTGCAGAGCTGTGAGGATTACTCCCCTGCAGGCAGACACTCATCCCCCCACATCACCCCTCCTCTGACACATACACAAACCCCTGCTGACAATCCAACACATAGTTTTCTTCAAAGGATGCTTTATAACTCATGTTTTTCTTAAAAAGGAGTTTAATTTTCTGAGGACGTCTTCTAAGGAGTCTTATTTGCGTTTTTTTTTTATTTCTTTCTGTGTTTTATCTGAATATTTTGAGCCGGACGTCTCAACAAAAATGTATTATGATTGAGTGCAGCAAACAAATACCGCTTTAAAAGATGGCTACCGTAGCACAGCAGCTACATAAAGTGGTGTAATGCATTGTTTACGAAAATGGATTAA